GGGGTGCGGGGGGGAGGGGGAAGGAGGGTGTCAGGCCCCAGCCCCCTCCTCCCCCAGACCCAGGAGGCTCTACTTTCTTTTCAGGAACCCAGTTAACCCCCCTCAGCACCCCCTTCCTCTTTGGGGACCCAGGGTTACAATCCTGCTCTGTGATGGCTCTGACATCTCTAGCTATGGCCCCCTCTCCTTGTGCACCCTGAATGCGGGCCCTTGAAAGCCCACATATTTGGGCTCTGGTTCCGCTTCTATGGAGGACTCAGAACTCTTCAGTTCAGCTTGAGTGTGGCCTGTGGGGTGTGTGTTGTGTTCTGTCCTGCCCATGGCATCAACATTTCCCTCCGACACTTCCTGAAGTGTCAAAAACCACCTCATGGGGGACACAGTGCTGGCCACCCTATCCTTGGGGACATGGAGACCATAAAAGATAGAATTTTCCCTGTTGCCATTAGAAGAGACCTCTTCCTGCTCTCGTTTTTTTGTTAATCATCACCAGAGGGTATTTTCCCATTGATGTTTAGAGAGAGTGGAAGACAAAGAGAGAAACATCAATGTGGGAGACACATCCATTGGTTGCCTGCAGCACATGCCCGGCCAGGGCCGGGTGGGGATGGAGCCTGCAACCAAGGTCCTTGCCCTTGACCAGAATCAACCCCAGGGCCCTTCAGTTCACAGAACTGTGTTCTTTCTCTCCTACTGACGGTGGAGAGAGAATTCCCTGGGTTGGTAGAATGTAAAGATGTTTTCCCAATGGGACCGGGAGTGGGGGTGGGTGGGGGAGGGACAGGACAGCATCGCAAACTTGTCTTCTATTCGATCTGCTTCCTCCTCTGCCTCCCTGACCCTCCAAAGACTTGTCCGTGCTCTTCTTCAAGGTCTCCCTTCCATTCTCTTTAATTGATGGTTATTATTTTGTATTAGAGAGGTAGGGAGAGGGAGAGAGAAACGTCGATGTGAGAGAAACATTGATTGGTTGCCTCCCGTGAGCACCCTGACCAGGGATCAAACCTGCAGCCCGGGTATGTACACCGACTGCAAACTGAACCTGCGACCTTCGGGTGGACCGGACAACACTCCACCAAGTGAGCCACACCGGCCAGGACTCCTTCCATTCTCTTGAATGCACCCAAGTGGGCTCTCACCTCCGCCCTCCTCACTGCTCCGGGCAAGGTTGCTGCTTCCCATCACGCCCAACCCAGAGGCCCCACCTGCCTTCATGGAACTGAGCCCCTGGAAGCATCCAACACAAAGGATTCCTCCTTGAAAGTCTGGCTTCCTG